CGTGCGGGGCCCCCCCCCTCGTGGCGGCACTGCGCCCAGGGCGCGCCTTGGCGGCGGGGAGGGCGGGGAGCCACGCTCGCGGGCTGCCTGGGTGGGAGCCGCGCCCGGCAACGCTTTGCAGCAGCTGGTTGCGTTGCGGGGCTAGGGGCTCAACCACCTGGGGGGATGTGATACCGTGTTCGGGGACATGACTGCACTGACCGTCACCTCCCCACGGCATCTCTGCCGTTGTGGGGTTTGGTGAGTGTGAGTCTAAACTGCATCAAAGTTGGAAATGCCTTCTTACCAAGTTCAGAGCCTAACATTCAGCCTCTCCCTGTGGCCACCAGTAACAGAATAGATTGTTCTCGGGGGCAGTGGATGAAGGTCACGATTGATGTAACTTCTAGGGAAAGTTCTGTCGGTGGCAGCCTTTCTGAAGACATGTCAAGTCCCGGTCCAATAGGCTCCCCATGTGCATCAAAAAGCCTCACCCAGGTTTTCAAGTTAGGTTTTTGTTTTTGGCTTTGTATTTTTCCAGTGTGGAAGTGGAGAGGGCTCTGGGTTATGTTCGGGGGAGTGGTGGAGCTGAACTTGGTAATAGCGTCTCTACTGCCCACAGGGAAAGTTCTGGAAAGGAAACCATCCAAGAGTCCAATATGTGATGGCCCTCCTGGCTAGATACACAATAGAGTCACAACAGTCTTTCAGGATGTGGCTGGGTACACAGGGAGAAAACTGTCATCCAGTCTCCACGCCACCTTCCCTGGGAGAGGGTCCCTCCCACCAACTGCTACAAGCTTTGAAGGCTCTTCGCAGCTATCCTGTGGGTTTAGCCGAGCCTCACGGCTAAACCCGAGGATCGCGGTTTTTGGCTTGACCCCGATGCAGTCTTAGTGTTGCATCCAGTACATTAGGGGGTCTCCCATACTCCCCTCACTCTCCCTAAGCCATCTCTTGAGATAGGCTGTAAGCATCTGATTTGCAGTCTTCGCAAACCTGCAAAGTGGGTTTCCGACGTCATCAAGCCGGACGTCCAAGCTTTCGGTGTGATTTATGAATTGGATCTCGACGAACGCAGCTTTTCAGGGAGGGCGCAGCGTAAGACACGTAGCAGCTTTGAGGACGCGGGATGGAAATTTGTGTAAGCAAAACCATAGCACCTTAGGAAAACTAACAAATGACTCTCCATCTATCCGAAAGGGAAACTGGGGGTAAGCTGTCCGTTTATTCTGTGTGGCCACTGCATGAATCTCATCTTGTTTCAGAGGATTCATTTCCCAATCACTTTTCCAGGAATTCTATTTATTATTTTGAATGGCATGCTTGGGATGAATACATCAAGTATAATGCGTCTCTCAACTCAGTAAGGGTAGGAAATTAGAGCAAATCTCTGCCCTTTAGATGCTTAATATGTAAATTGAAAATAAGCAAAAGGAAAGGAAAAGGTTTTGTTGTTTTAATCATCTGAACTGTAAAAATGATAGCACAAGTGCATTGAGCACTTGTGAGTTGTAATGGGGAGAAGTGCCTATCCTTCCTGTTTATTTCCTTCTTGGGTTAATGAGAAAGACAGCCATTCTGAAGACCCTGCCTGGCTGGTTACTCTGTCTCTGACAAATATTTACACTACCAGGGCAGACTATCGTAGCCGAAATTCAAAACCTGCAGCCCTTCGACACTATTTCCATGACTTAACTGCAAAATGAAATGAAATCAAGGAAAATGTCCTTAAATTATCCTGTCTGGCTACCATAGAAAGAACAGGGTTTACAAAACTGACGAGGTTCCAAGGTTCTGGGGTGAATGTTTCTAATAAGTTCTGATGGGGAGGAAGACTGCGTAATGGCTCCGAATTCTGGCATCGAAGGCTCTGGACCTGGTCCATGTCAGTGAATTTTTTTTTTAGCTAAGTGAAGCTTGCTATTAGAAATGACTATATTTTTGAGTATTTGCACTGTTTGGGGAGGAAATATTCCTGAAGTGCGTTCCACGCTTCCCGCAACACGAGAGCTGGCTAGTGGAAGTCTGTTTCCTGACCACCCAGGAGCTGTGCGGTCAAAGTCCGCTATCTTGTGTACAAAGCAGGGGAGGAAACCAGGCATTTGTGTTGAATCAGCGTTTAGTCTGGCTCTGCCACTAGTTAAATGACCTTAAAAGTGGGGGGCGAGGAGAGGAAGCTTGCTTAAATTTCTTTCTTCCATGAGAAAGAAAGAAAGAGACAAATGGCAGCACTCCCATCATAGTCTTTTTTTTTTTTTGGAGAGGTTTTCGCTATAGGGCGTGTGCGCTTGCCAGATAGACAGAGAGAGACAGAGAGACAGAAAGCGAGAAATCACCCCCCAGGGGAGATGGTCACGCCGCAATCCCTTCTCCTCCATTCTCCTCTCAGGATCTTAGGCACGCACGCACACGCGCCCGGCATGAGTTTTAAGCCACCAGGTCCAGGACGCGAACCGCGGTCGACTACGTGGGAGTTCAGCAACGTAGCCATTACGCTAACTGCTGGTTCCCCCATCATGGTCCTGACCCCACATTCCATCCCTACTCCAGCCGGCCCCAGATAACGAGTGCATGAGTGCCACTGGACTCAAGGTCTCCGGATGTGAACCCAGAACCTTTTCATGTGGGTCATGTGCTCCCAACCAACCCTCACATTGCCTTTTTTTTTTTTTTTAAGAGAGATTTTTGTTACAGGGCATGTGCACTCACCAGATAGACAGACAGAAAGCGAGAAATCACTCCCCAGGAGGGATGGCCACACCACAATCCCTTCCCTCTGCTTCCCCCTTGGGAAGCATGCTCTCATGCACACCCAGCTTGAGTTTGAAGCCACTGGGTCTGGGACTTGAACCATGGATGACTGTATGGGAGTTCAAGGATGTAACCATTACGCCATCTGTTGGTCCCCCTCGTGCTGCCTTTTTAACCTTTAGCTCTTAGTTGTAAAACCTCAGGTCAGTCATACCTATAAATCACTTTCATTTGC